CAAAGTAGGCCCACAATGGCATTGAAAACACACCGACACACAGATCGGTTATACTGAGCGATAATATTAGGTAATTCGGGCGTATTTGTAATTTAGGGGTCGTTATGACCGAGGTTATCACTAGAATATTGCCGATAATTGTGACAAATATGATTATAAACAGTAGAATCGCTGATAAAAATTGAATGAAATATAATTCATCCGATGAGACGTGCGTTGAATTCATGATTTGATGTTAAATAATATTTATTGATTGTTAAAGACTAATGAATTTGTTGTAAACAGTTTTTGCATTTTAGTTATTTAACTACAATATTACTTATTTATATTATCGTAATAATTTTTAAACTTATTCGTTTCCTATTAAAACTGAATATGATTCTCAGTAAATTTATTTAAATTGTCGCTTTATATCAAATATTTTTTATTGTTTTACATTAATTTGTTGCTTTGCATAATTTATATACGGCATTATGTTATTCACTGTATATATAAATTTATATAGGGTTTGATTGAATTTTTATTTTTTGCTTATATAAACATCCTCATAAAGTTTATAAATATTTTGCGATATACTGTATAACTAATGTTTTATAGGGAAAACAAATAAATTAGTATTTATAATTTCATTGTAATAAGAAATGCAAAATTTGTTTTTATATTAAAACAAATTATATTTTATTTACGAGATGTGGTTGAAAATAAATTTATGTAGGTAAATAATCAATATTATTTTCTCCAATAGTTGTTTTTAAAAACTTACGGCATATTTAACAGCCTTTTAAACGCTTTGCGAAAATCATGATTAAGTAACGCATAAAGCATTGGATTAAGCATTGAATTTAAAAACAATATCCAAATAACCAGTTGAATTTCGGTAACCGACACTTCATACAACTCTTCCATACTAGATCCGTCAATGACCAGGGTACTGACTAGGGTACTGATATTTATTGGTAGGTAGCACACTATAAACACCGTGGTAATGGTGGCCAAAGTCTTGTCATTATAAACATTTGGCCTATACTTGGATTCAGGGATAACCAGAAGTTTATGGATAAAATTAAGGCTAATATTTGTTATGGCGGGTGATAATACAATATAATAATTTGGTTTTATATTAATTTTATCTTTACAACTGGGCTTTGTGCAATAATAACATTATACTACAAAGTGTACAAGGTAAGATAATATACTTATACTTGAATTTAATTTTAATCTGTACATTTCATGAACGCATATTTTTAGAAATCAATTGAATTTAAAAGTAAATCAAAACCCAAAGTAATAAATGAATTTAAAAGACATAAATCTGTGGACAAAAATGACAGGGAGTTCAGAGTAGCCAGGACTTTGGCTGTGGTTACCATTGCATTTTTCATATGTTTTACGCCATTTAATGTTGTTAATTACAACTCAATTTTAATCATTTGGATTACAAACAAATGGTACATTTAAATATTGCATGGTGGATACTGTATATAATTCTACCTTGAATCCAATACTCTACGGATTATTAAATCGCGAATTTCGTATCGTATTTAAAAGATTGTTGTATATAATCTAACCATATTTCTTATTACCTAATGGTCCAAGGATATTATAAATAATTCATTTCAATTTTTGTATTTCGTTTAAACAGTTGTTGAATATTTTGTAACTATACTAGTACTCTAATCAATTTCACATTTTAATTATCTTGAAATGCTTATTTATGTAATTTAATAAAAATGTTTCATTTTGTATGATTTAATGTTAATTTTATTTAATTTTAAGTAAAGACAAATATTTTATAAACATATATTTTTCTATGAATAAATGCATAAATTATTTGTAATAAAATAAAATATTAAACTTTTTCGCATTTCCATAAGGATGTAATTTTGTCATAAATTAGATTTCAGTTATAAATAGTAAATATAAAGTTAGGGTTTTAAGTCAAATACATTTTAAATACAATAATATGACTTATGTCTAGTTAATTTCCTAAATAATTTTAATACTAATAGTACTGTATAAATGTTTATTAATTAAGTTAGTCTACAGATTACTTAAACCTATCTCTATGAAAATGAATTCAACACATATTTCTGTGGATAAACTGTATTTCCTTCAATTCCTATCATCAATACTACTGTTTATTATAATATTTGTTACAATCATAGGCAATGTCCTATTAATTACAGCGATTCATACGACACCTAAATTGAAACTACGCCCAAATTGTCTAATACTATCCCTGAGTATAACCGACTTATGTATCGGTGTATTTGCGATGCCTCTTATGGCTTATTATAATGTGGTTGGTTTGGATGAATGGACAATGGGACCAGTTATGTGTGACATTAAGACATTTATTCCTATCAATTTGACATCAACATCCTATATACACCTATTGTTTATAGCTATTGACAGGTATTTATCGGTTACAAGAATACAATACTCAAGAAATGAATCCAGGTCACATATAATTGCAATGATTGGCATTTCATGGACAGTACCACCGATTATCACGATTTGCTCGATACTCGGGTGGAGGGATAACCAGGCTTACTTGGAGTTGATCGCTAAACATGTCTGTTATCCGGCTGGAAATAACATGTTTGTCAGATATTGCGTAATTGTTGTTAGCCTACTTGAATTAGTTGTGATACCCACATTGTATTATCGAGTGTACAGGGTAAACATTATAATTTAATACTTATTATTGTATTTAATTTAAACATGTTTTAATTTAATATTTAGGCGTCAATTAAGTTCAGAAATAAATGCAAAAACAAAGTCATAAATAACTTTCAAAGACAACAATCTGTGGACAGAAATGACAAACTATTGCGCCGGGAGTTCCGAGTGGCCAAGACGTTGGCTGTGGTCACCATTGTGTTCATTGCATGCATTATACCGTTTACTGTCGTATATTCAATAACTGATTTCACCAATCTCATTTATCTACAAGTGACACGACTGCATGTGAGCATTTGGATTGTATTTATTAATTCAACAATTAATCCAATACTCTATGGTTTACTAAATCGTGACTTTCGTAATGCATTTAAACGGCTGATGCATATGTCCTAGAGACTATGTTCCTATACATTAAGATTTATGTATATTAATTTATTTTAAAACAATTTCTCAATATAATCTAGCACTGCCTTAATAATTGTCGTTATGTTTTCAATGAAACAAATATTGCTTTATGAGTTTAGTTCATATGAAATAACGGAAAATACTTTGTAATCCTTTCAAAGAATTGAATTTTATAAATAACTATATTTTGTGAATCAATGTAAACTGCAAATATATTTCACTTCCTTTTGAATATTATTTTGTAAAGGAATTGTATTTATAATAGATATTTCAGATCTATAATTTTATAGTGACAATGTTTTAATAAAATATAAAGTTATTTTAATTTACTAATTTTCACTATGAATTCAACACATATTTCAATTGAAAAGTTATATTTCATTCAATTTTTGTCAGCAATTATACTGTTTATAATCATATTCACTACAATATTGGGTAACTTATTGGTTATTACAGCGATTAAGACAACACCTAAACTCCAAATACGACCAAATTTTCTCATACTATCGCTCAGTATTACCGATCTTAGCGTCGGTATGTTTGTGATGCCACTTATGGCCTATTATAATGTGGTCGGTATTGATGAGTGGACAATGGGATCAGTTATGTGTGACATTAAGACATTTATTTCCATTTGTTTGACAACAACATCATATCTACACCTTATGTTTATAGCCATCGATCGGTACCTATCGGTCACAAGAATAGAATACTCGAGGAATAAATCCAAATCACATGTAATGGCAATGATAGGTATCTCATGGATATCACCACTCATTTTTAATATATGGCCTATACTTGGGTTCAGAGATAACAAATTGTTTTTGAGTAGAATTGATCAGAATTTATGCATTTCTATAGAAAGTATTGAATTTGTCAAAACATTTATTAATATATTCAGTGTAATTGAACCCATTATAATTACCATACTATATTGTATGGTATACAAGGTAGGAATATCCTAAATCTAATGACATTATCTGTAAATAATCTTTAATTTAGTTTATTATTTCAAATACAGAAATCGACTGAATTCTCAAATAAATACAATAAAAGTGAAATAAATGAGTTTCAAAGACACAAATCTGTGGACAAAAATGAGAAAATAATGCGCCGGGAGTTTCAAGTGGCCAAGACCTTGGCAATCGTTACCATTGTATTCATCGCATTCATAATACCGTTTAATATCATTTATTTCATAACTGATTTCACCCATCTCACTTATCTGGAAGTCACACGATTTCATGCGAGCATTTGGATTATATATTTGAATTCAACACTCAATCCATTTCTTTATGGTTTACTTAATCGTGATTTTCGTATTGCGTTTAAAAGGTTAATGTATATGTCGTGATCACTGTTCCGATTAAAACAAAGTTTACAAATATCCTTGAACATTTTATGCAGTACTTTACTAAGAAAGCAAAATAATGCATTTCCGCTAAATGTTTGATACTAAATGCCATATAAAAGTATTTGCATTTAAATAATCCGATAGCTTAAGTCATATTCAATTTTATAATTTATTCAAAAATATCATTTACAAAATGAATTCAACACACATATCAAGTGATAAATTATATTTCATTCAATTGGTTTCATCAATATTACTGTTTATCATAATATTTGTCACTATTATTGGAAATGCTTTAGTAATAAATGGGATCATAATTACTCCAAAGCTTAATAATAAACAAAATTATCTCATATTATCCCTAAGTATTACAGACTTGTTTGTCGGTCTGTTGTTAATGCCTGTATTGGCGTTCAGGGATGTTGTTCAGACTAGTGACTGGAAGTATGGATCAGTTATGTGTGATATCTACCACTTCCTAAACATCAACTGTACGGTCACCTCATATCTGCACCTCTTATTCATAGCCATCGATCGGTACCTATCGTTCACAAGAAACCAATACTTGAGGAATAAATCTAAATCACATATAATGGCAATGATTGCCATTTCATGGATATTACCACCGCTAATAAGCATTTGGCCATTACTTGGGTTCAGAGATAACCACTTGTTTATGGATAGGATTAATAGGAATATATGCTATTCAGTGGGCAATAATAGATTCATTAAATCGGCTATACTTTCATCAGCTTTCATCGGATTCATAATAATAGCAATATTGTATTATAAAATATATAAGGTGAGCAAGTAACAATTTATTTATTTACTGAAAAACTTATGTTTGGTATTATATTTCAGAAATTGGTTGAATTTAATCGCAAACTTAAACATAGACAGAGAAATGAGTTTCAAATCTTGAATGAGACACAGACTGTGGATAAATGTGATAAAACTATGCGACAGGACTTCCGAGTGGCCATGACTTTGGCTATCATTACAATTGTATTTGCCTTAAGTGTGACACCATTTAGTGTCATATATTATATAACTGATGAGCAGTCTATAGATTACAAAAGGGTCGTCCACTTTCATGTTTGCATGTGGATTGTATACATCAATTCAATGCTAAATCCAATCCTATACGGACTACTGAATCAAGATTTTCGTATTGCATTCAAATACCTATTGAATATGACGTAAAATTTCCAATTAATATCCTTGAACATATTGTATTTGAGTTTCTAAGGATTCAAAATATTTTACTTCCTGTAAATGGAAATTAACAATAATAACATTTGCATATATGCTTAATTTATATCCCTTTGAATAATTATTATGTAAAACATGAATATTGCTAAAATAATTATACAGAGGTATATTCTAAACGTCATTTTAAAATACTTACAAATAATTATCTACCATAATAATATTTATTTAATAATTATCTCAAAAATATTATTTTTAAAATGAATTCAGCACACATTTCTAAACATACATTGACTTACTATACTCTCACAAGCCTACTACCTAATAATCTATTTTTGGGTGTACAAGGAGTTTTACAAAATTATTAAAATACATTAATTTGCGATAAAAATAAGTTACAAAAGTTTTTTTCTGAGAATTTAATTTATTAGACATTATGTATATTTAAATATAGAACATTTAAAAATTTATATTACATTTATTACTACTTTTGTTTTGTTTTGTTTTATTTCAAATATGAATTCAACACATATTTCAACTGATCAATTGTATTTCATTCAATTCTTATCATCAATACTACTGTTTATTATAATATTTACCACAATTATTGGCAACATTTTGGTGATTACAGCGGTGGTAACGACACCTAAACTCAAAATACGATCAAATTATCTGATATTATCTCTTAGTATAACCGATCTATGCGTCGGTGTATTCCTCATGCCTTTAATGGCTTATTACGAAGTCGTTGATATGGGTTACTGGATGTATGGGCCAGTTATATGTGACATTAAATACTTAATGACAACAGTTTTTACATTAGCATCATATATGCACCTCATATGCATAGCCATCGATCGGTACCTATCGGTCACAAGAATCCAATATTCAATGAATAAAAGCAAATCACATGTAATGGCAATGATTGGTATTTCATGGATATTACCCGTGATTATAACCATTTGGCCCATACTTGGATTCAGAGATAACCAGATGTATAGGGATTTTATGAATGAAAATATATGTCATGCAATTGGAAATAACAAGTTTATCAAATTTTGTATAAATATGTTTTTGTCTAATTGAGTTTTGCATAATTCCAACATTGTATTATGGAGTGTACAAGGTACGAGTTTAGTGTTATTGTTAGTTAATTACTACATTATTTATTTTTTAGGCATCAATTAAATTTGGAAATACACGCAAAACAGTGATATAAATGAATTTCAAAGACAACAATCTGTGGATAAAAATGACAAATTAATGCGCCGGGAGTTCAAAGTGGCCAAGACTCTAGCTATAGTTACCATCGTATTTGTGCCATACAACGTTATGAATTATAGGTATATCATTAGTTCGCAAACACCAGATTACAAAGAGTTAGCGTATTTACGTACAACCATTTGGTTAGCTTGCTTCAATTCCACTCTAAATCCAATTCTCTATGCATTTCTTAATAAAGATTTTCGCGTTGCATTCAAACGGATATTATATTATAATTGATTTATAATAAACAATTAATTTTGACAATTAATTTATAAAATATAGTAAGAATAACATTGAGTAATTTATGATGTATATATAATTGTAACACGAGTTTATTTTACAACTACTGTATCAATTTGCGAAAAAATAATTTTTCCACAAATATTTAATTCTTAGTTATAATTTATCCACTGTGCATTTACATCAACATTATATAGTATTACATACAGTATTTTAATATACTTATTTAATTATTTGTATAATATAAAAGCTCATTTTAGCAAAGGGTGGGGAGTAGAGTGGTGTAACGGTTAGAGTGTCGCACTAACAATAGCCAAGTTAAGGTTAATCAATAGGAGTACCTGAAAGGAAGTATATAGGGGGGCATGAGATCGTGCCCCAAGCGGGGAAAAATTTTTTTTTATTAAAAGTTTTAAAAAGTTTTGAAGTACTTTATATGTGCAAATTATTTTGTAGTTTTATTAATAATTGTATCATATTTAGCGGATTTAAAAGTAATAGTTATAAAAGTGTTTTCTAAGAAGTCAATGTATCAGTATAATATTATATGCATATACTAATACATAGAATTTTGAAATTAACTTACATTTTATCGTTTTATTTGATGTTCAAAATGAATTCAACACACGTTTCATCCGATAAACTATATTTCATTCAATTCTTATCATCAATACTAGTATTTAACAATAATTGGAAACGTCTTAATAATAACCTCGATCATAACAACACCTAAACTCTGCATACGTCCCAATTATCTCATACTATCGCTCAGTATAACCGATCTCCTGATCGGTGTCTTCTCAATGCCTGTGACGGCATACTATGGTATCGTATATGTAAGCGATTGGATAATGGGATCAATTATATGTGACATTCACTACTTCATGGCCGGGGTCTGTACGACCTCATCATTTCTACATCTCATGTGTATAGCCATCGATCGGTACCTATCGGTCACAAGAATACAGTACTCGAGGAATAAATCCTTAACACATATAAAGACAATGATTTCATTTTCGTGGACTTTTTCTATACTTGTCACGTGTTGACCCGTACTTGGGTTCAGAGATAATCAAATATTTATGGATAGAATCCGTAAAAACCTTTGTATACCGTCTGATAGAAATGATCTGGCTAACAATGCAAAACCGGGAATCGTTCTCGCTAATTGTAATTAAACCCGACTGAATTATACTGGTATAGTATGGTATAATAATAATATCCAGGTCCCATAATCTAGCGGAATGTCTTAGGTGTCCAA